TTTTTTAAAAACCCATCTTTTTTCAATTGTGTTTATGTAGCCTATCAATATTAAATAAGAAATGGTATTTATATGAAATTGTGAAATTATAGGCATTGGGATCAGAAAAGAGCACATATTTAACTCTGTGTGTGTATGCATATAATTTATTGCAGAACAAATGAATGTTGCGTTATTACTCCACTCCTACGTAACGTCATTTCAAAAGCGTAATTCGAGTCAAAGAAAAGAGAAAATAAAACCAAATTACTGTAGGTGGCGATATATGCTCATGGCACCAGTCGGCTATTAGATCGAAGAAGAAGAACGTCATAACGACAGTTCAAACCAACATGGTTTAAACGATGGATCTGCAACACAGGTACCATGGTTTTGGGAAACAGTCGTGACTAGCTAGTTTGTTTCCACAACGATGCATCGTACTATAGTGGTTAATCAGCGAGTTACGTAGTTGTACGGGAAACGCACCCCTTCAAGGGGCAGTCACACTACACTTTGAACATGCACAATTTTTTCGGACGCCGCTGCGAATATGGGCGGGAGCAGGACATCACGCGCCAAAGTTTCCCCTCAGTTATCTCAACATGGATTCCGATGTGCTTGTACTGTGTCTTTTGCGACGGCGTCGAAAGCGTGTGGAAAGAAGGCTGTGGGTTCACCCTATTCTACGGACTGGGAATGAGCGGGGAGAGTTCCATTCTTTAATTCAGGAGCTTCGGCTGGATGAGGATCGCCACAAGGAGTACTTTCGGCTCTGTCATATTTTATTACCTTATGTTAATACATAAACTGTATTAATGAATGAAATGTTCAAGGTGTCTGAATAAATTTTCGTTTGACTGTACATATATATTACAGCTTTAAGTGCTGTAGGTTTTTCCCTTTAAATAGGTCAGTTTATAAGTTCTTGAGGTGTGCAAAATAAATTTTTAAATGATTCTGAAAATATAAAATAACAAACAATATTAAGTAATTTAATAATAATAATACACTTGTGTATAGTAATTTTATTGTACTCTCTCTCTATATATATATCGTCTGTTCCTGTTTCCATTGACACCGCAAACAATGCAGCTTCTTTTTTTATTTGATTTTTATAATCTTTTAAAGATGTATTATATAAAATAGGACGCTGCGCTATGGCTAAAATTAGCGCTTCCTCCATTTTTGAATTTCTGTATAGGGGTCACGCAGTGACGTATCGATCTTCTACTGGTCACACGTCTTCACGTGATGCGAATTCGCAGGTCAGAGTTCACCAAACTTGAACTTTGGAACGCAGCGAAATGCGAAGTTTTTCGCACGAGTTTGTGTTTCCAGTCTTACGCATTCGCATGCGTATGAATGGAAGTCAATGGAACAAAAAGTGCAGTGTGACCGCCCCTTCAGTGGTGTTGGAGCACTCTGGTGGTGAGTGGAAGGAACGACAAAGAGCGGATTTATAACGTTCTCTTAACACGTTCACACTATGCTTAAAGGGGTCATATGATGCGATTTCAAGTTTTCCTTTCTCTTTGGAGTGTTACAAGCTGATTGTGCATAGATAAGATCCCTGAAGTTGCAAAGACTAAAGTCTCAAAACCAAAGAGTAAAGCATGTCAACATATTCTGTTACACCAAATACACAAAATAATGATCTTTAAAAAAGCATCATATGACCCCTTTAAGACTTTTCATGAACTTGACCATGCTCATTTACTATGCACCAGTGGCGAGCGGTGAATTTTTTAACCGGGTATTCTGAGTGATAAGATTAACCCCCCCACATCGCTTTTAAGATACACTCAAAAGAGGAAAATACTGGCAGGTGTCGATTTAAAAGTATGCACATTCCTACCTTATTTGTAAATGAAATTCTTCTCCAGTCCTTCTTTTATAGTTTCAGGTTTATCCATAGTTATTCAAATGCTAGAAAACTTACTTTCACCTTGATGTATCATGTTTTAGTTAAGTTGTTCTATATTTATTTTTAATGTATGTGTACATTAAAAGTACCATTCTGGCATCGAGAACGATCCGGAGTTAAATGAAGATTAATGTTTTGGCATGTGATGTGTTTATTGAACCAATCGGATAAGAGTAAATGGAGAGTCAGCGAGAGCCTCATTTGATTGGCTACAAGAAGGTGGTGGACCCGCCCTTCCCCTCACTCTTGCAAAACTCAGTTAGTGAAATAAGCGTGCCAAAATTGTAAGAGCAGAGAAAAGAAAGAGGGGGCTGTACTTTTTGCCCCACATGCACAAGTCATTTAGAAATTTGCAACAGTTTGTTTTTTACACATATAGAGATAGGTTCTATGCAGTCAATCCATTTTGCAGTTCTTTAAACTTGTTTTCGCTTGCAAATCACTATTCACAGGCTTGCAGTACTTTTGACCGTATTTTAGAGAAAAAAATCGTGCGAAAAGTGTAAGCGCGACAAAATGGAAGTCAGAAGAATGCAGATCATATTTATTTTGCGTTAGCATGAAGCTGCAGTTTCACAATACTTGAATTACACTTACGAGTAACAGTAAAATGCTGCAAATAATTTTTTCTTACGTTTGAAACGCGATTTACACCTTTACAAAGCTTATCTTGCGCATGCAAATTTAATTTACGCTTACAGTCTTATGTACACTTCCACAACTCTTACCCTGCGTATGCAAATCTTTTAGGCATTATTTTACCATAATAATTTTCAGCAATCGAGATCTGACAGCAACAGCGAATTTTTCCGCTTGGGCGAGCGCTTTTGGACAGCTTACCTCGCGCATGAAATAATTCACAGACCAACAAACGTCTCAGGTTACTTATGTAACCATGGTTCCCTGAGTAGGGAACGAGACACTGCGTCCTCTAGGGGTCGCTATGGGGAACGCCTCTTCATGACCCGTGTCTGAAGCATACATTGAACTCGTTGGCCGGCGACAGCCATTACGTCACTACTGGTGCGACTATAGTATAAATAGGCGCCGGGAGCTACACATCATTCACTTCTTCGTCTGAAGCTTGCGTCCGGAGCATGGCAAGAAACCTAGAGGACGCAGTGTCTCGTTCGCTGTGTGCTATATGTTGTGATAAGTCAATGATCTGTTTGAATTTTTTGTATTTTATCAGGTTTCGGTTCATTGATGAAAAAGAAACAAGGATGTCTGCAGTAAAACTCCTTCTCGATCTCTGTGTTGCTGCAGTCGAAAATGACACAAATTCAGGAACAAGATTCTTGACTCTGCTGTCATCTGTGTGCAGTTATGAAATCTTCCCTTTTGCTGAGTGGGATCAATATTATGCTTCTGATCAGAGTGATTTCCTGCTTGATCTTTACTCACATGTGAAGAACTATGAGACTCAAACAGGCAGGAGTTTCCTTCCAGCATTACAGTCAGTTTTCCAGTTACGTGATGACTGGAACATAGATCTCTCCCAGAGAAAGAGCTCCGTCCTCCTGGAAGTGCTGAAACTCCAAACAGAGAAGAAACCAGTAGTGCTGATAGGATGTTCAGAGGAAGAGAGTGAAATGATAAGTTTCCTTCAGTGTCTGCCCTACATCTCACAGCTGAGGTGAGAAGATCTACAGCAACTTCCAGAAGATGTTTATACTGTAGGTTTCAGTCAAAGTGTATAGCCTAATGCATACACATGGGCAACAAATGTGCACTACATCTTATGCACTTTTTTAACAATACCTAAATTCAAGTGCAATGTCTGTCAGGTCATTGCATTGCTTGTTGTTGGTAGGAGTGTTAAAGCTCTCTGTGGGTGTAAACATGCAAATAGTGGTGCATTTATAAATGTCAATAAAGTGGTGATAAACTTTAGTGTTTTATTTATTTGGTGAGAAATGGGTGATTGTGCCTCAGACATCTCAGAATCACGTCTATTCTTCATTCAGAATCTAAACTTTGTGTGTGCATTTAAAATGTGGAGGTTCCACAAGTAAGTGCTATTAAAGTACATATCCTAATAAATGTGTCCCTAAATATTACAATTATTGTTAGTTTTGCTGTTGTGTGTCAGCCGAACAATATGAATACTTTAATGAAGCCTAGATCTAATTAGTCCTAACGAGTGCCACATTTTTTCATGTGTATACAGTACCAGCTTTGTCTGCTTGGGCTGCCTTCATTTTATATTCTATTACTGTAGAATATATAGTTGTGTGATGTGATAAATCAATGATCTTTGAATTTTTGTATTTTATCAGTTTTTGGTCCATTGATGATAAAGAAACGAGGATGTCTGCAGTAAAATTCCTTCTGAATCTCTGTGTTGCTGCAGTAGAAAATGACACAAATACAGGAACAAGATTCCCGACTCTGCTGTCATCTGTGTGCAGTTATCATACCTTCCCGTTTCCTGAGTGGGATGATGATTATAATGCTGATGATCAGAGTGATTTCTTGCTGGATCTTTGCTCCCGTGTGAAGAACTATGAGACTCAAACAGGCAGGAGTTTCCTTCCAGCATTACAGTCAGTTTTCCAGTTACGTGATGACTGGAACATAGATCTCTCCCAGAGAAAGAGCTCCGTCCTCCTGGAAGTGCTGAAACTCCAAACAGAGAAGAAACCAGTAGAGCTGAGAGGATGTTCAGAGGAAGAGAATGAAATTATGAGTTTCCTTCAGTGTCTGCCCTACATCTCACAGCTGAGGTGAGAAGATCTACAGCAACTTACAGTTGTAATTGTGTAATAATGATTTTGTTTTTTTTTATCATTTAGAGTATGTTTATAGGTTTCAGTCAAAGTGCATAGCCCAATGCATACACATGGGCAACAAATATCTGTCAGGACATTGCATTGCTGGTTGTGCGTAGAAGTGTTCGCGCTCTCTGTGGGTGTTAAAGGGGTCATATGATGCTTTTTAAAAGATCATTATTTGGTGTAACACCAGTGACTCTCAGGTCTGACTGACTGTATATTTCAGCAGTGTTTGACTTTATATTTATCATGGCATAGAAATAAAACAATGAATTATGTATGTGTAGACCATCAAAGGAGACTCTCCAGAAGCTGGTTGAATGTGTCTGTGAAGCTCAGGAAGAGGAGCTGACTCAGTGCTTCCTGCAGAAAGTAGGCGGGGATCTGACTTCCTGTTCCCTAAACTGGGAAGAGCTTCATTATTTCCTGCAGCACAAAATTCAACGCATTGCTGTGGACCTCAGAAAGAGCAACATTCAATGCAGCATCAGTGAAATTCTGCCATTTCTGAACAGGATTCAGTTTAAACGGTAAACAAATTATTTCTTTCACAAAATCTGGTTGTACAATTTATTGCTTTTCATTTTTTTTGTGCATAAAAATATAAACTGAATAGTATGATTAAAATATCCAGTGATTTAATAATGATATATATGATGTGTGTCTGTACAGCATGAGCTCTAGCTTAATGCTGTCAGTAATCAGAGAGATCTATGAGTCCGGCTCTGTTGGTTTTGTGTCCGGTCTGTTGAGTTCAGTGGAGAACTACATTAACCTGCAGAGCAGAGAGCTGGACTCTGTTCACTGTGCGGCCCTGCGCTTCACACTGCAGCACTGCACTGCAGTTTCACTCAATCTACATTGGACCTCCATACCAGAGGAAGAGCTGGAGAGCATTCTGCTTCTCTTCACACATGTCTCCCACCTCAGGTCTCACTGCTTTTCTCTATTCTTCACTTTTTCGGTCTCAGGTCTGACTGTTACATTCAGTTTTCTGGGTGTTGTCAAAGCCTTGTAGTAGCATTAATTTGTCTTAACTAGTTAAAAGGGTATTATTTTGTTAGTAGTATGTTTATTTAATTAAAATTATAACAATCACTGTTTCCAAACATTTCTACCTCAAAAGTAGTCAAAAATGTATTATTAATGGAACTATTAAGGTACCCAGAACCATTAAGAGGAATCAGAATCTTTGAATTCCTTAGGATTCCCATCCATAAATAGTGAAGACAACTATCACCATAGAAACACTGAGAAAGACATTTCAACTAAGCTGTAATAAAAAGTAGTTTAAAAAGTTTTTAAAGCTGCTTTTAAACTGGTACTGATGGTACTGGTGTTACCAGACTCTGTCCTAATCCAGTTGTTGTCTGTGTTCAGTGTTGACAGGCTGCTTTTACTGAAGATGCTGCACTGCTGCAGTGTCTCTGATGTCCAGCAGGAGGCAGCAGCAGTTCTGCTCTCCATCCTGCAGCATGAGCTGGACTTCTCCTGCCTTTCTGCTCTGGACCTGACAACAAACACAGACTTAGAGCCTCTACATCTGACCGCTGACGACTGCCGTGTGACGTCCAGAGTCATTCAGAGAGCTCATTCAGACACAAAGACACAGCTGATTCTACAGGACTGTGAGATTAATACAGCTGGAATGGATCAGCTGTTCCCAGTGTTACATTCTGTTCAACTCTGGTGAGCAACATGAACAGATCACATTCATACACAGTTCCAATATAAACACATTCAAATATATATAAAGCATCTCTCGCTCTCTGTCTTTCAGCTGTGCTAAATCTCTGCTGCTTCAGTTTCTGGCTCATGTGAGGCGTGAGGAAGCCGAGTCTCTTTCTCGAGCTCTGGGTGAAGAGCTGGATCTCAGTCAGACTCAGCTGGACCCGCAGGTCTATAGAGGTCTGGAGCTGATTCTGGAATATTCTGAAGGACTGACAGAACTGGATCTGAGTCAGTGCCGTCTCACCGATGACAGTCTGGATCTGCTGCTCCCAAACCTCCACAAAGCACAAAACATTGAGTGAGTGACTGAGAAAGAAACACAAAGTGTACATTTCTGAAGTGTGATGTAATAAGTGTTACATTTCTGATTTGCTTGTTTGTTTGTTTAATCTCAGTTTTAGTGGCAACAGCATCACTGACTTTGGGGCACTAAAAATCTACTTTATTGTCACTCTCAAGAGTAACATAAAGACAGTAAGGTGCGTGTCTGGGTGTCATCCATAATTCTTTGAACTGTTATTGAAATGGTGAAATTTGTTAAAAGGCTTTATGTTTGAGTAGAGCATTTTGGTGATCACACTATCATCCAAAAAAAAAAAATTTTTTTTTTAAAAATTCATACATAGATGCAATTAATACTTGTCAACAAAACTCATTTCAAGCATTTAAATAGAAGCTTTTAGATCAAAACTGTGTAGTCATGAAACAACTAATTCAGTTAAGTGTGTCCAAACTTTTGACTGGTACTTCATATTGTCATTTTGACCAGAGTAAAAATCATTAATAGTAATGATGTTATGTGGGGTTTCATTTACATGTACGGTATTCATTTAGCAGACACTTTTATCTGAAGGGATTTGCAAATGAAGAATACGAGCAGTGGGTTGTAGCTAATATCAGTGTGTGTTTGTATCTCTGTAGGCTCTTCAACAACAGAATTGAATTTAAAGAGCCCTTCAGCACAGACCCACGATTTGAGATCTGGTGATGTCAATAAACTCTCAACTCTCTGGAATCAACAAGCAGGTGAAATAACCAGAGGGCAATAATAAGGTAACAGGTGTAAACACTCTTTGAGGAATCTGCCTATCAGACTCCCAGAGAGGAATCAAGCCACCAGATTGTAAACATTTATTTTTATCATCTCTTTCAGTTATAATCAGCAGTGGGTTTCTGTTGCATTAACTGTGTTTTGTGAATGACAACATCAATCTCCTTTGTAAACTGTCTTTCCCCTTCACC